GCACCCTCTTCGCGAAATTCGGTGAAAATAGCGAGGAGAGGGTAGTTATTGGGATCAAGGGTGGTAATTACAGGGTGGAAAAACGAACGGAAAAATAACAGAGAGAAACTTTTCCACCCTCGATCCCGAACTTCGTCACATTCATCATTGTTCTTGCCAACCGACCTTCTTTCCCTTTCTTCGATTTCTTTTTCGGGGGAGGCCACCTCGTAAATTCGAAAACGCGGCGAAGATTCCTCGCGATGACACACTTAACCGTCGTTCCCGCGCAAAAAACTGCGACCGGGATCTCGGTGGAAATCCTGCTTCAACTTCCATATACACACGGAGAGAGAGAAGAGAGAGAGAGAGAGAGAGAGAGAAGGCGATATATACACGCTGAAAACAAAAGGGATGAAATATTTCTTGGCGCGGAAAGTTGAGGAAAATTCTTCTCGTCGTCGAGGAAATTTTTCGGTTGAAAAATAAGAAGCGAGAAAAAGGAATACGTTGAATTAATAATTGTTTCGTTTATTCGAAGATTGTAAGTAAATTTGTATTATGCCTTTTCCAGTCGCTTAATTTTTCGAAAATAATAATAAGGAAGAGAAATTTTTCTGGAAATGAGGGCACGCTCGACCGTTGCAATGGTTGGCGATTGGTCGTAACCGGAAACGCGCTCGAAGAGTAGCCTGTGACAAACGAGGCCGCGAGCACCGAATAAAACAAATGCGGATGGAGCAAAGCTGACAGCGCGGCGGCCGAACGAAACGGAACGAGCGAGCAACGCGGAATCCGAGGGTGAAAGTGGGCGAGGCCTCCGGCTAAGGGTGTAGTTCGCCTAATGCGCGATGATTAAACTAACGGCTGCCACCAATCACCCCGCCACGAAAACTCTCCCATTCTCTGTCGTTCCAGAACCTCGAGACGTCCAATTTTTCCCTCCTAATTTTTTTCTTTCCCTCCCTCCGATATCCTTGACACAGTCTTTTCATATCTCGTCGTTAATTCGGAAAATTTGTAAACTCGATATTGTAAAAAATTCATCGACGTAAAATTTATTGTCCATCGTCGTTTGATCGTCTTCGATAGAATCGTCGTATCGAATTTCGTGTTTCGGGCGAAAATCGTTTACACGATACGTTTTGTATATATTTTCATCTTGGTGTTGTATTAAAAAAAGAAAAGAAAAAAAGAAAAAGAAAAAAGAAAAAAAAACAAGGGGAATTTAACCGAAAATTAATTCATGCCGGCCGCATGTGCGGTAATCTCGAGCAAACATAAAACGCGACGAAATAATCACGATGGTTGATTCATAATCCTAATTCCATCAGAGCCGCAGAATAATCGAGCGTCGACCATAACCTGTTAATACCGGGGCATCGACGGCCCGGGTGCAGGCCAAAAATTTATTTATGGCCGACATTCGTTATCGGTGCGTAAAATTCTACGTCCACACTCCGACCAAACACTGCCCCCTTCATCCCCCCGCTCCTCTCCCAACGCTTCAAACACGCGTGACAAGCGCAATTGTTTACTTGATAAAAACAATACAATTCGCCCACACCCTCCTCCCCTCCCCTCTCTTCCCGCCACGTACGAACGGACGGAACCGGGAGTATAATCCGTCGGGCAAACAAGATCGAGCAAAAATATCCTCTCGACGGCGACACCTATATTCAGTTGCAATCGAATCGTTTTAAACGCTTAAAACCGTCCGATCCCGTTAGTTCGAATTAATTTACACAGCTCCCCCCCCTCCCCGCCGATCCGCCAATTTACAGTTTTCGCCGTTTGTTGTTCGCCGCGGTGCGAGAAAAATACGAGAGAAAATAAACGTTATTACGTTTACTCGTCGCGAAAATTGACGCTAATTACCGACCGAGTCGAAAATCGATTCCGAACAGAAACGAATTAATTAACCGGCCGCTTTTAACCGGCGCCTCGGGTCGTTTCTCTTCGACGATTAGCCGGAATGCTCGCTGGTCACGTGACAGGTGAAGCGAACGTATCAAGATGGCGGCGACGCGATCAGTGTGAAAACAACGGGCCTCGAATCCTAACGATTCAATGTTTTTTAAAAAAGGACGAAAGTGATCGTGAAATTCGATACGTTGCGAATAACGATAGAGATAGTACGTGACGACGCTATTCGCTACTAGTTTTATGAGATATCCGATAAGGAAGAATCGGTTACGAATGGATGATCGAGTGATGATTTTCTTTTTTTTTTTACGAAGAATTGTTTGTCTATTCAACTTCGAAGCGTATAGCAACACAGAATCGGAATTTATGGAATGAAAGTTGGATCAGTTTCGCGGTACAGGTGGTTCCTTTCCATGGAATTTATTATTCGTCGATGGATTTTCGTTTCGAAAGGGGGATTGGGGGAATCGTGCAATTTGGAAATGGAATTGGAAGTTTGGCATTCCTTTTGGTAATGGAAAATACACTCTCTCTCTCTC